TCATAGATGTTTTAAACCATAGTTCATTTTGATATGTATAGTTGATTTTGATATGTATAATGATGAATGCATTAGCCTAAATTGAGAAAGAGACAGTGTGAAAATAAATTCTCACAGTATCAATAGCATGATAGCAAATAGACACTTATAAAACTTCATAACCGGAGAAAAAAGCCAACCCACTCAAAGGAAGAGTCCAAATAGGTAGGAAAGAGAAAAGTACGCAAGATGTTTTAGATATTGTTTCTCCCTATAAAATGTCATTGTTATGTCTTGAAACATAACATTTGCTGGAATTATTTGGTTATGGCTGGTCTGTTTATTTTCACTCAATATTATATATCTTATATTTTTGGGTTTACTGTCAGCTGGCCTATAGAACAAAGCCTAGCAATGGAAAATATCTGGATAATTTGGAGCCACTCACACACTCAGCCTAGCTCACAGGATTGCTTGTGTAGGGATAAATGGAGAGCACTACTTCAACAGTCCTGGAATTTGAGAGGACGGTTGACATAAATAAATAAGTGCTAAAAACAGTATACATGTGATGGTTTGGTCTTCTCCTTGAATTTGTAGTCCAATGAGAGATGATATTTACAAGGCAATCCTGACATTAGAGGCTCTGAATTATCTCATGCCATCTAGTAAAAGGCCGGCAATTTGCAGTTGCTTATGGCTTCCTGGCTATAATTTCTCCTCCTTGGCAAGGGCCATAAGAAACCAGGGATATGGGCATCTGTAAAGGTATTAATAATTGGGTGCATGCTTCTGTTTCATTGCTTATGCTTTCTCATTTAGTTTTTAATCACATTCATTTCTTTGCAAAAAGAACTCCAGTGTAGGGTGGCTGCATATATACTTAACATTATTAAATATTATTTACAATATTTAACTGCAGTAGCAAATGTAATGGCAAATGCCAGTACATAGAACTGGAACATTATATTGGATAATAGAAAGGGTTCATAAATTTCTGGAGTCATTTTCATGTAATGAAAATTTAGGCAATATCTATAGTTAGAAATTGACTATAGAAAGAAAAATCCACTACAATAAAGTGCAGTTGTGCTGACTGGTTAGCACAGTGAACTAAAAAATAGAAACCATTTCCCTTTCAATGTTTTGCTTATTGTAGGATCAGTCATTTTTAAATTCGGGGGAAATACAAATCCTTGAGTGCTTACTTTATAATTGAGTTAAAAATGGGGGGGGGGGCTTTATTTCGTGCTTCTTGGAATAGAATATTCTGCTTGTTCATCTATGTCTGAATTATATTTTGAAGCATGTGTAAGAAGTAGGGGAGGAATAATCTGATCTGGCTGTATAACACTATATACTATTAGAACTGAGCATTACAAAACAATGCTTGTTATATAGACATGTAGAAACAGCATCTTTAAGAGTAGTAATCATTATGTGTTCTCTTGTAATATTTGGAATTTCGGAAATAAATTGTTGCCGCCATTCTTTCATCTCCTAGTATGTATCTAAATATCATCCTCTCATCTCTCTGGTATAGACATACATAACCCTATGAGACATTGTCCACATAGGCTAGTATCAAAACAAATTTGGGACACAGCCAACATCTGAATGATTAGTTAGAAGTGTTCCTCAACTCAATTCAACATTTTATTTGCCAAAAATGAGAGTTGAAGGCCTTATTGATAAAGGATGGGAAACGTTTAATCTCTTTCAAGTCTCCTGGTTAATATTTTTTTTCTTTTTTAGATATTCAACAGTGATCTCTTTGATACTTCTTTATGTCAAAGTACTGTTTCTTAAATTAAGTGTTTTCTGACACGCATGATGAGTTTGATTCAGCTGGCGAGAAGATCTGAAGAAATTGTTTTGCAGACTTGGATATATTCAGTTTCATTACCCCAAAGTATAGCCAATCTATGAATCAAGATGGTCTTTTGAAAAATCTACTACTATAAGACCTTTGCCTGAAAATTCATGATGAGCTTTTTAATGAAAAAGGTTTCAAAACCCCACCACCTTTTTCTTTAAGTTATATTTTTTTCCAAGAGGATTTTCAGTACTCTCAATACCAAAGATCCAGTATTGAAAGAATGTTATATAGATACTTTCTATAACAAATTTGCTTCAGACATTGCTGAAATCTGCTATCGATGTCTGTCACATGCATTCCATTAAGATTCAGATTCAGTAAATATGTTAAACATATGGGAAAATGAAGAGTACTTTTAAAATACACTTTTATTTCAGCATATTTTTTTCCTTTTCAATCATTAAAAAGTCATCAATGTTTAGTAGACTTTGAAAAAAATGAAGAAATGCTGTTTCTAAAATACTGATTTAACATGCTTTAAATATAGTAGTATGACAACATAACACATTTAATGCTGATATGTGGGCATTTATTTTGCGTCTCCCTTAAGATTATTTTATTTTATATACTGTTCTTTGATGCTGCCTGAAAGAGCAAGAAGGTAACTTGTATGCAGATTTATTTACATTGTAGGTAAGAATGAGGGAACTTATATGTCAGTTCTCTCATTCCTTTTTCTTGAACTATTAGGAATTCATCTTGATTGCTTTATTGAGAGACTGAAATCTTTGGATTAACTGGATTGCTATATATGGAAACGTGAGGATAATTTAGAATGCTTTCAGACTTTATGAGTTGTAAAAGAGGCCTTTTTGAAGATGACACCCATCCCTCCCAGTGTCAGAGGTCTTAAGTTTAATGAATGTAGGGAAGAGAGGCTGTTCCTGGTTGCTCTCTCAGGAATTTAATTTGGCCTATCATTTAAAAAGTAGATAAGATGTAAGTCTTTACCTAGACTTTTAAATGCAGAAGATTTAGTAATTATATTAATTGCCTTTTGCTTTTATATATTTTTATAAATTGCTCTTATATTTTTCTTAAATTTTATCTTTCTAGACATCTTCAGTTTTTAATTCGAAGTACTTTAGATCAGGGGTCCCCAACCAAGTCGTGGCCTATTTGCAACTGGGCCACATGGGTTGGCACACATGTGTGCATGTGCAGCTCAACTTTCAGGAGTGGCTGGCCGGTATGTGCACATGTGCGTGTGCAGATCAACCTGTACAAATTGAGCTGCATGCATATGTGCACATGCAGTGCTCCACCACTTGCACAAGTTGAGCTGCACTTGCACAGCCCAGTTCCCCTCCTCCCTGCCAGGCCACCAGGCCACTAAGGTTGGAAATTGCTGTTTTAGTCATATATTAGTTTTCTACCAATGTCATATAGATTCAGAAGACTGCATGTGTGTCTCTGTATGTATGATCCAAATATATGTTTACTGCCTTTATTATTTTACATTTTTCACACATGGGCTGATATTCTCCTTATAGATAATTCCTTCTACCATTCTGATACTTATTAGTTACTTATCATAAACAGAGTAAACATACTTTTAATTTTGTGTTCCCTCAGTTCTTTTGGTGCATAAAACTTAATTTTGATATAATTATTGTTAGGTGAAACATGGTTTATATTCTCCTCCAAGCAATAAAATAACAAGATAAAGCTCGAGTGGTCTTATTACTATAAGGACAAAACCTAAAATCCATTCTGTACCTTCTTCAGAAAGATAGATCAGGTGTCCCTTTGGCCAATTTGATTATGGTCACTTCTTTCTATAGTCAATTAGTATATTAAACTTGTTTTTAATAAAGGAATCTATGTTACACATATTTGCTTAGGGCATTCAAAGACTAACTTAAATGCAGAGAAGGAACCAGACTTAGATTCCAAATTCTTTGATAATGTATCACAGGGGTGTCAAACTCAAGGGATGCTTAAATCCAGCTTGCGGGGTTGGTCTGGAAATATCAAGGGACTGGCCTGCAGTGCCTCTGGTGGCTAAAATGGGCCGCATGTGCCCACATGTGCCTCATTTACACCCTCCATGGCCTTCTGCAGCACTCTGCCACCTAAAACGGGTTGAAAATGGGCCATGCAGCCTGTTTTCGCCCAGCAGTGCTGCAGGAGGCCATGCAGGGAGAAAACGAGGTGCAGAGGGGGCATGCAGACCCCCGTGCTTCATTTTGGTCAGCAGGGTGCTGCAGGAGGCATCCCCGCCAACCCCTCCCCTGCCGGCCCGCAGAGGAGAACTACAATGCTGATCCAGCTCTCAAAGAAATTCAGTTTGACATCCCTGATAAGGGTTAAGAACAATCCTTTCTGAAAAGATGAATACAGAAAATGAAATGACACCTGTTTTACTTTAAACATTTTTAAGGTGTTCTGTGTAGCATAGAATTAAACTGTCATCCAAAGTTCTTATTTTACTAGCATGTATTTTATCTTTTAAACAGATGCTTCTGTAATATCACTTAGAGGCTCACTTCTTCTATATGGGTAACTTCGGTAAATACTTCCAGCGAAATATTGTGAAATAGAAGATTTTTAGGATTGATCCCTGAGCAGTATAATCACAAGATTGGAGCAGAGGAAATGACATGTCCAGATATTGAGTGCTGGGCATTGCAGTACAAGTGTTGTTTCATTTTCTATATTCTTTTGAAAAATGATTGTTCCAATACATCATCAAAGAATTTGGAATTTAAACTTGTTTGCTTCTCTGCATTTAAGTAAATAGGATTCTAAGTGCCTTTAACTTGGAACCTTTATTTGAACATTTTTTTCTTATGCGAAGTGTGCTTTTCTGCTAAACATGCTAAAGAAAAGTATGTGGATGGTTTCTAGGAGACAAGAGATTTTACTGTTGAACAGTGGGTGAGATAACCCATCTGTAGTGGAGAGAGAGAAAGAAAAAGAGAGAATACATCACTTCTAAGCCACAGGCGCCAGTGACTGTCTCCTGGTGCTAAATTAGGAACTCAGAAAACATATCCATCAACTTGCATTGGACCAATGTGGTAGATTACAGCCCAGAAACTGAGTCCATCATTCTGCAGTGTTTTGATTCAGACTAATTTTATTATCGCTATCCCTCCCTCCCTCCCTTTAATGCTGTTTGCCTTTTCCCCCCCTCCAGGGTAACCAGGAGCCAACAGCTACTCCTGACACAATGGTCCAGCCATTCACCACAATCCCATTCCCACCTCCCCCACAGAATGGGATCCCTACAGAGTATGGTGTTCCTCACACTCAGGACTATGCAGGCCAGACCAGCGAGCACAATCTGACAATCTATGGAAGTGGACAAACACATGGAGAACAGAATACAAACACAGCTACCACGCAGAATGGATCTCTTACGGTATGTTCAGCAACATTTAAAGCTAAGAATTTATTTCATTGGTTATTTGGCATTTGTATTTTTAAAATGGTATAGATAAGTATTAAGAATCCAAAGTTGCAGTTTCAGATTTCCTCTTCTTTCTTGAGCAAAAGCTAAGACAAAAGAAAAGAATTCCCAGTTACTGCAAAAACAAATGGAATACTCAGGTTCATCTGAATGAGGTTGTTTATTATTAAAACAGGCGCTAGTGAACTAACTTAGGATGCTGTGGATATCTAACCATATTTTCTTCATTTTGTGTTTGCAGTGTGCTCTCGGGCCATGCTATGTTAAGTGTTCCTTTCTCCCATGAGCTGTTCAGAGCATCCAGTAGTGGGAGGTGCTCCAGTCTTTGCTTGTCTAGGCTAGGCTTAATTTGTGGAACGCTCCTCCTCCTCCACAGGACTCCTCCCCAGTGTTCCCCAGTTTTGGCTCAGCCTCGTTGAGGATAGGCAGTGTTTTTTGTTCTTCCTTGGCCGAAACAGTGTTACTCAGCAGGTTTGGATATAGTCCAGTTTGTTTTTTCAGGCTTTTAGCCTTCAAATCACATTACGATCTCCTGACGTTAGCTCTCTCCATCTGGTTGTTGGAGTTCATTTGCATTTTTGGGCAGCGCTGTTTCGCGCCCTGAAGCAGCGGGCAGCTTCGGCATTGCTCCGAGCCCCCCCATATCTGCTCGTTCTATCTCCCGCCATTGTGATTTCGCATTGCCTTTCTCTACATCGGCAATAGCGGCGTGGGCGTTTTTGCTCTCATCGAGTTGTATCGTTTGATTTTTCCCCTCAGAACACCGTCTTGGTGTAGAAAGCATAAAGCTTAATTCTTTCCACCCCTTTCCCAGTCGTTTTTAAGCCACAAGGAGAAGCCTTCGGAGGCATTTCCCCACGCAGTGGGAGTTTGTTGCTGGGAAGCGCGTGTGCACCAAAAGTAACGGCCATTGTTTTGCCTTTGTTTTAAAAACCGTGTGGCTGCGCTATTCGTAACTCAAGATGTGTGAGGTAGTTTTCCTTCCCGATCAGAGTTTTTTCTTCAGATAACTGAAGGAATTATTGCACCTCGTTTTATTAGATTCGAGGCCATCCATGCATTATTGTTGGCTTAACCCTCACAGCCTTACCCACCCAGCGGCACAACAGCGAGCATCCAGGCCCATGTCTGCCTGTGCAGGGAAGCTGTTGAAGGCCTCTCTTTATTATCTTGGCCTTTTCAGGCATCCTTAATTTGGCTGTTTGGATATTCACTATATCAAGCTGTTTTTCTATTAATTTAGATATATATATATATATATTTATATCTATATTTGTGATTATCATTCACTCCAATAATAATAATAGTAATACTACTACTACTACTAATAATAATAATAATAAAAATTCAGTATTAATATCTTAATAACAAAAGATATTATTACTGTGATACGATTCATATATACATATATCTTAAAAAAAAAAAAGAAGGGGATAAGATATTATCAGGGCAACCGGTCCCTTCTTGGATCAGGCCCCTGGGCGTGCCAACCGCCTCCACAGTATCACTTTGAATAACGAGCATACTACATCTCTTTCAATCAAAATGGCAGGCAGACCTCAGACCTCAACATCAAGGGTCAAAGCTAAATCTCAGCACAAATCTAAGCAGACAAAAGGTCATTCTAAAGCTTCAGAAAAGGATGCCAACAGGCACCATAAAGCATTAGAAAAGCAAATAGATAGGCGTGCAAGGGAGGCACACAGGACCTCACAGGACCTTCCGCCCCCCAGTCCAGTACCGTCTACCTCTTCCCACCCTCCTCCTCCCCTAGATCTCTTCTTCTCATCCAGATGCAGCTTGGTTTCCCAGAGTCAACAGGCCCAGTTACCTGGAACACAGACCACGTGAAGGGCTCCCGAAGCTACATTCACTCCAACAGCTGCCAGTCTTCAACAGGACAACATTCTTCCAGAAGAAGTTCCAGAGAGAATGAAGGTGTGGATGGAGCTGGCAATTCGCCAGGGAATTGCAGCAGGTCTTCAACACGCAGTTCTGACCAGGGAACACCCTGTAACCACTGATTATGATTCTCAATCGCTCAGGTCGTTGACCAGATCGTAGCAACACTATACCAGGTACAGTTTCAGGGGGACTTGCCCCTCCAGGGGCCACAGGAGGAGGAGGAGGAAGTGAAAGAAGTGGATCAAATGGAACAGATTGAATCAGGATCAATACATGACAGTGACATGGCCCTGTCAGAAGCGGACCCCCTAGAAAGGGGAATGTCTGAGGATGAGGACCTTGTTCCCGATCAACCTGTATTTACAGGCTTATTCCGCCCACAACTATTCAGATCACTTTTGTTTAAGGCAAAAAACATTGCACGCCTGAACAAGTCAGCCCCTTCTACCACTCCAACTCCTTCAGAAGAAGAACCAGAATATCTAATTTTCAACCAACCAGTAGTCGAGGCGGATGTGATTCCAGTTCCTCACATGTTTTCAGACCTGGTACAGAAACAGTGGGAGTCTGCAGCGGTGTACCCTGCCCCCACGAGATATGACAGGAAATATTTTAATTTGGTCCCTATTTTATCAAAATTGTTGAATGCTCCCGAGGTAGACGAACCTATAGTGGGATTAACGTCCTCGTCCTCCATTCCCAGTGAAGCACTGGAGGCATTAAAGCCGGAGGAAAAAAGGACCAAGCTTGCCCTACGCAGCACCCATCAGTCTGATGCATAGGCCATCAGGCCACAGCCGCTTCCTTCTTTACCCGTTCTTCTCTTAGGTGCTCTGTCTCTTACGGGAGCATGTCCCTAATTCCAACATTAGAGCGCACCAAGATATTGCAAAACTTATAGCAGCCGCTGAATTCTCAGCTGATGCAACTTATCATGCGGTCAAGTTTTCAGCCAGGGCCATTACTTCACATGTCACAGTGCGACGCTTACTATGGTTAAAGCATTGGCAAGTGGACATTAAGCACAAATTCAAGCTTGCTTCATCTCCTATTGCGGGAGACAGACTGTTTGGCTCTGCCCTCAATCAGCTGCTAATCAAAACCCGAAACAAAAAGAAAATTCTACCTTTCCTTTTTCGGAAGTCAGATTCTAGAAACCCTCAGTCCTTTTGGAGGGGATCCTTTCGGCCCTTTTATCAGGGACCCTTCTCACACAGATACCAGAGGCCCTCATCATTCAGATCAGGGCAGCAGCCAGAGAGGTCCGACTTCGGGGATAGGAACAGAAGGGGTGGCCAATCCAAGAGATCCTTTTGAGGAGCAGGAAATAGGTCTTTCTGGCATCCAAGATAACTCCCCAGACCCGGCTCCCATTGGCAGACGCCTTAAATTATTCGCAGACCAATGGGACTCCTCAACATCTGATTCCTGGGTCAGAGACACGATCAGATTTGGCCTTGCGCTAAAGTTTCAATCCACTCCCCCAGACTTTTTCATGTCCTGTTTCCAGAGATCCGGTTAAACGTAATCTTATGGAAACAGCTATCCATCATCTACTGGACATACGAGCTATCCAACCAGTAGCTACCAATCAACAAGGGCGAGGTTTCTATTCACATCTTTTTGTTGTTCCCAAAAGTTTCGGGAGGTGGAGAGCAATATTATATCTGAAGCGTCTTAACCATTTCTTAGTATATCGCAAGTTTAAAATGCACACCCTGCAATCTATCTTACTCGGCATCAGAAAGGCTGATGTCCTTATGTCTGTAGATCTGATGGAGGCGTACCTACATATTTCTATTCGGCCTTCCCACTATAAATTTTTGAGATTCTGTTATGATAACCACCATTTCGAATATGTGGCTCTTCCTTTTGGACTAGCATCTTTCCCCCAGGACCTTCACAAAGGTTCTTGCAGCTCTTGCTGCTCATCTCCGAGGTGTACCTGTACGACTCCAGTGTTACCTTGATGATATATTAATTTTGTCATCTTCCGTTCATCAAGCACTCAGAGATACTCAGACCACATTACAATCCTTTGCAACTACATGGGTTCTCAATCAATTGGAAAAAGAGTCATTTAACACCAGTGACTCGATTAATCCATCTGGGGGCAATCATAGATACAGTGGAAGGCAAAGATTTCCTTTCACCGGATAGACAAAACAGCATCCATCAATTAGTTAAGGAGATCAGAGTTCAAACAAGGGTACCCCTAGCTGACCTATCAAAATTGTTAGGCAAGATGATCTCATGTATCTCTATTATTCCTTGGGCCCGCCTCCACACTAGATCCCTCCAGTGGTTTCTGCTCCTGTCTGGCCGAAGTAACTCCAAATACAAGGTCAAGGTTCCATCAAAGGTCCTCATATCTCTCCACTGGTGGACCCGACCAGTCATAAACAGAGGTTGTCTCTTCAAGGAACCCCACAGACTTACCGATGCCAGCCTGTTTGGATGGGGAGCTCACTTTCAGTCGCTCACAGCCTAAGGCCACTGGTCCTCCACAGAACAGTTGTGCAGCATAAATTGGCTGGAGCTTCGAGCAGTACACCTGGCTCTCTGCAGCTTCCTTCCACAGGTACGCAATCAACACATGCTAATATTGACCGACAACATAACAGCAAAAGCTCACATAAACAAACAGGGGGGCAAACAGTCGAAATACCTCATGTGGGAAGCGGAGTGCTTGTGTCATTGGGCGGAGAGCAACCTAGTTTCCATCAGAGCAGAGCACATTTCGGGACTATCGAATACACAGGCAGACTGGCTAAGCAGGGCCACGATCGATCAATCGGAGTGGCGCCTCCATCCGACCCTGTTTCAAGAGGCGGTCAGGACATTTGGACAGCCAGTGGTGGACCTGTTCACTTCCCCCCTCAACGCTCAGCTCCCGAGATTTTTTTTCAGGTATCCCTTGCAAGGAGGAGAGAACTTCAATTCGCTCCGCTGTCATTGGCCCCCGGGACTTCTGTATGCATTCCCACCACTTCCACTGCTTCTCAAGGTCATCCAGAAGCTGCTAGATGAGAGGCCGGAGCTGCTTC